ATTTATAAGACAAGATAAGAAATTGTTTGTCAGTACTATGAAACCTCATAAGGGTGTTAGCAGAGATACCATAAGTAGATGGATACGTGATACAATGGAAATGTCGGGGATAGACATATCTAAGTTTTGCCCACATTCAACACGGGCAGCTGCTACTAGTGCCGCTCATAAAGCAGGAGTACCAATAGACATTATCATGGAGAAAGCTGGCTGGTCGAACGCTAGTACTTTTCAAAGGTTTTATAACAAACCGATACAGACATCTGCACAGTTTAATGAAAGTATTTTAAAAAGTGTTACTTGATTAAATTCGATATGAAGAATGTAAATAAATGGAATGTTCTTTAGTTCTACTCTTAATTTTATTTATTTATGCATAGACAAATACATCAGCTCTGAAATCTCATATGATCCCTCAGTACTTTGATTTGATAGAATTCTTAAATTAAACGAATATAACTTGTTAGATGAAGTTTGATTGTAATTCTATCAAATCAAATAGTACTGAGGGATCAGATGCCCGCCACAATTTTAATGTATTATCATTAGTAAATAATAAACCCACCCTTGGCAGGGATTTATCAAGGCTGTTTTTACTACCGGTAAACGGTACCTTTCCCCTCTTGAAAAAGTTGAAAAATTCCCCTTTTTCAGATAGAAAATTCTCCGATGAAACGGAGAATATTTAAAACATCGTACTGAGATTTTCCGTTTTTGTCCGATTGAAGTTTAACAGCATATCCTAATTCACCATCCTAGTCATTCAAACGCTTTTAAAAGAGAGAGTAGATTATTCAAGCTTCTATTTGATATTGAATCGGTAAACACATGTGCCATGTCCATGATGTCAAAATATACGTATGCGATTGCAGAGTTAAGAAAAGTGTAGATGAGTAAGATGGAGCTTAAATCACTATGAATCGGAAGAATGGAGTAACAACAAATACAATGTTAGTAGTGAAACATGAAAAACGGAATTGATTTGTGAAATATATCGAGAGAAAAAATTAAATAAAGTACTGACCTAGTTTAAATTTTTTTTTCTGTTATTTAATATTTTGTCTCAAAAGTGAAGTTTTTGTGGCCTTTGTAAAGGTCTACAAATGACCCTTAGAAGCTCTAAGAATGCAGGATTTTGCTCCATTTATTTAAAAATTTTCCGGGGGAGCATGCCCCCGGACCCCCTAGAATACTCGCGCCTTCGGCGCTCAAATCGAGCCTGCGGCTCTCATTTTTCCCCTTTACATATAAAACGGTAGTAAAACAAAATAGCTAGATAAATCCCTGCTTGGGCATTTAGGTTTCAGTAGATGTAATTGTCTATGGTATCTGAAGTCTGATTGGTTGAATGGAATCACGTGACCTAAGTCATCTCATCTGATCCCTCAGTACTATTTGATTTGATAGAATTACAATCAAACTTCATCTAACAAGTTATATTCGTTTAATTTAAGAATTAAAGGTGCATGGACACAGATTTGAAGTTAATATTTTCTGTATAATATTACGACTTATATATTTTGATAGCATTTCACACAAAAATATATTAAAAATCTTATTTCATCTAAAAGTTATTAAAAATTTATGACGGGTTTGATTGACACATCCCTGCACTCTCACAAATTTTAATTTTATTCTTAATACTTAGGAAAAGTGGCAATCTTGTTTCAATAACTTTAAGATGAAATATATACATTTGTGGTAACTCTCCATTATATAAACATACAGAGAGAAAATATCTTCAATTCTGTATGAAGTTTGTCAGAGGTCAGAGGTCAATACGTGACCTAATCACACGGCGCAATAATATCTACCGGTACATAAATATTATAAAATGACCTCTACTTGCTTTTCATGTATAAAAAATGAATAAGATAAGCAAGTAAAATGATAATTATTTTATTTTAAATGTAAACAAGTATTTCATACAGTTTTTGGGCTATCGATTCAACCTGTGTACATAGAGAAAACTAGGAGCATAGCGTTTGTTTACATTTTTCTTCACTTTTGTCAGCTGCACAGTCTCAACGTTCATCCATATTTTTTTGGATAGACCTTTGCTTAAATTTTCATGGTAAACTTTTATTTTATCTTTAAATTTTACTCACGATAAATGTGTAAATCTGTTGGATAATATCTTTGCAATCATGCCATGAACAGCTGCCAAACACCTCGGCGTTTTCGTAGTTCAATGTAAATTAAGATGTCGCCAGTGTCTCCGTGTTTATCAGTGTTTTACGATCAGTATGCCTTTAGTTACTGAAACCGTGGAATATTTTTTATCAAATTGCAAATTAACTGGCTCGGACAATTTTCTCAATCCATCGGATCCATCCATCCCTTTCCAGCGACCGAAATTCCTCCAACTTTTTATCATCAAACTTCGGACGTGTTTCTTGCGTCTTTTCAGCATCGATTATCATTTTTCACGAATAAAATATTCCCAGACAACAATCTGTTCACTATTACTGATCACAAGTAGCTTTTCACAAAATATTCCCTTCGAAATAGATTCCTTAGCCTTATGAATTCGAAGCGTAACCGCCATGCAAGCCGATTTACACCTTGCGTCATTTTTCAAAATCTACGACGGACGGTTAGTGCAATAACTTAAATTCGAAAATATTCAACTGTCTGTCTCAAATGTATATATAAGTAATAAATAACAAGTTTATAAACTTCAATGGGAATTGAAGTGGGTCGGTACGTGATCAAATCTTCTGAGAAGGCCTTCGGCCTTCACAGGATTTGATCACGTGACCGACCCACTTCCATTCCCCTTGAAGTTTATAAACTTGTTATTTATTTCTTAAATAAGATAAACTTCAAATCTGTGTCCATGTATGTTTAAAGATATTGAGAAGATATTTCTTCTCAAAAAGATGGAATTTGTATTTCAGTAGAAATTGGTGGTGTTAATAAAAAAAATGAACATTTGAATTCTATAAAAATTCATAACATCAAAATAATTTGATTTCAAAAAAGATTTTTATCAAAATTTTCATAAAAATACCTAAATCTAACATTGTAATTATGGTAAAACCATGCAAAATGAAGGTATTGCATTGTTATAAATTGAAGTAGCATCGTTTTTAAAGGAGGGGGCGACCAGAGAAAAAATTTCTATCTAGCTGAATTTTTTTTTTAAAAACTTGACAAGCAAAAACAAAAAGGAAACTAAAATGATATAGCCCAAACTCGGAAATCCTATTTCGTGTGTGTGAATGAGAGGGTGTTTGTGTGTGTGTGTGTGTGTGTGTGTGTGTGTGTGTGTGTGTGTGTGTGTGTGTGTGTGTGTGTGTGTGTGTGGAGGGGGGGGGGTGTTAGGATCAACTCCTTTCAGTACCAATTTTTTCTTAATATACATGTACTAAATAACCCTTTTTTGTCCTTATTCTTAAATTTGGCCCGCTTGGCGTATAGTATCGCGGGTTCGAATCCTACTGTGTGACGTGGGAACCGGTTAGACAGAATAAACCGAGGTCCCGTGTCGCAGGCCAGTAGGTGCTGGCACGAAAAAGATCCCTCACTTCTCAATGCCCCTGAGTGCTCAGTAAAGGACAAAAATAAGCTCTTCACCGACAAATACTGGCGTCTCCATATGAGTGAAAAAGACCCGAGAGCGACGTTAAACAACATACAGTGAAATCTATGGTTTGAAAAAAATGCCCAACCCCTTGATGCTGCGTGCCTGTATATTTGATGCATCGTTTGCCTCTTTTGAAACAAACTGATTAAGAGGAAACCCCCCACTAAAATGTTACAATTTAATTTGGTGTAATGAAGGATATGGAGATAACGAAGGGTATTCAATATCAAAGTTCATAAAACAATACAAAATAGGAGCAGAGCAAACACGGATCTCCAAAACATCAGAGGTGGGATCAGGTGCCATGGAGGAGTGAGCATCCCTGTCGCCCGGTCACTTACGCCATGTGCTCATTGTCATTATCGGGAAAATCTGTCGTCAATTCAGTGTAGAAATAATGCACTAACAATTAGTATGAAAAATGGCAGTCAGCATATGACTCAATGATAAATTGTATTTGCTGACAAGGTCATTGCATCTGCCATATAGAACTTACGAAATGATGACTTTAATCGAAACTGCTGATTTTCTTGTTTCGTCAACTTGTTTGTCAATAATTTAACTTATTTTAGAATTGTTCATACGTAGAGCATGCTCTTGCATATCTATGGAATCAACTGAGAGATATAAATTACGTATGCAGATGATAAAGGTATATCGCTGCATTAGTAAGGGAAGTTTACGATAGAAAATTAAGTTATATAGAGTCATCACGTTTATCATAGAGTTTGGTTGTTATTAGATTACCATTAAGTCTTTTTCAAGTAAAATATCCAAGTATGAAACAAATGTGTCAGACTCTGTGGTATCTCTTATCTCAAGCTCACCAGGATACTCAGTATATCGTATCGACATAGTCCTGAATGGAAATTACCATTGTTAATTGACAATACGTCGTCGATATATCTAAACAACGAGTTGAAGGCCACAACGAGTGTTTTCTTCTTTTCACGCATAAGATTTTGCACTAATTCTGCTTCATATGAATATAAGAAAAGGTCTGCCAATAACGGAGCGCAATTGGCACCCATGGGATTTCCAATAGATTGTTGGAATACCTGGTCTCCAAAAATCACATAGATATTGTCAATCATAAACTCAATATCTCTTTGATGTCAGCTTCAGAGTACTTTTGTGTGCAATCAGAATGTGTTTTAACAAAATAATTTTGCAAATGACCAATGACCAGTTGAGTAAATTTAAAGATTTCCATTTTTATTGAAAAAGCACCTGTCAATGATATATATTTTAAAAAGCCTACTTTGCCTATACCTATATCTAATTAACAGATAAATCACCAAAAAAACTTTTAGTGAGTAGTGAGCGCGCCGCGCCGCAATTTGGTAACTTTCCTACAATGCTAGCGCAAGGTATTTAAAAATCCTTAGCTTTAGCATCTTATTGACTTATATTGATGTTATGTTGAAAATTTATCACAAAATTAAACAGAAGTGGTTTCAGTATCGCTACAGATTCGTACCTTGGATCGCTTTGAACTTGAACAGGTAGGTAAATGAGAGTTATATCCCGTTTTGTTTTATATTTCATCAGTATTGAGGTCGAAAGTTTCGGTCGAATTTCCTCGAGAAAAATGTAACGTTATATCTGCAAAAACTCTTCCTATTTATCCTTGCTTTTGCCTGTTTCTGAACTTGTGTTTATTAACATGATAAAAGCTAGTGTATATTCACATCAGAGCGGGGGTGTAATTGCTTAGTGAGCATTATAGGCTCACAGACTTCTTGTTCTACCCTTGCCTTAATTAGTACAGAGGCCAGGGAAACATCTAGGCATACATTTATAATTGTTATCCTTTTAACAAATATTTTATTGCTTTGAACTATTCATAATTACATGTCTGTTGGCTATATAGTCACAATGGAAGATTCTAGACAAAATAACAGTTGAGATATCGTACTTATTAGGTCAGCGAAAACAGTGGACAAGGGTCACAGTGATAAATTAATACCAGATGAAGTGGTCCACGGATCTCTAGTGAATCTGTTCAGTAGATTCCACCAGTTTTATCAGCCTGGTCAGAGGGTGTGTCTGGAGACAGCATACAGAGCTCTGACTGACAGAGACCTCGCCCACATCGCCAGACACAACCTACAGGTCACAAGGGACCAGCTGGGCTTCACAATAGAGAGGGGACCAAGCACCGTCCCTCATGGGGGAACCGGGGTATTGGTTACCAGTGGACACGTGCCTCGGGGAACAGTAGTGTGTTTTTATCCAGGTATGAAATATATATCCAAGTCATGGAAAAATTGCATGCTTATGTGTCTGTCAATTTCATTGCCAGAGGTTAGGAATTTTATCTGTAAAATGTTATACTATTTAATTAAAAGTAAATTAAATGTACCTATAAATCATGCATGCATGCATGCAGTTGGCTCTTTTCTTAGAATTTGGCTCGTCTGGAAAGGAGTAGGGATTCTTCAAGTTCAACAATGCTAAAACTTTCATACACGTGATATTTATTTCCAGGAACAGTATACTATCCACATGAAGCGATTTTATTCCAGAGCATAGGCAATACATTCATATTCCGGTGTATAGATGGAGTACTGGTTGATGGAAATGACAGGTCTCTCTCCAAGATGATATTCAAGTAAGATCATTTATATCAACCAGAGTATTCCTGTCATTAATAAAATAATAAACATTAAAGGATCTCACATATAATTTTATCTTTTTCTTTTCCTAGGTCCTGTTCCCAGAGAGATAGACAGGGTCCATTTGATACATGTGACTGGTCGTGGATGACTGATTACCCCCAGAATCCTCTAGCTATAGGCCAGTACGTCAACAATCACAACAAAGGTATACCGGGTAAACAGAATCCTCTAGCTATAGGCCAGTACCTGTATCTTTGTAAAATTCTTGTTATTATGTTACAAATTTTGATAAGTCAGTACAGCAAAACTCGGTTATAACAAAGTCACTGGGACCTATGAAATTGCTTCGCTATATCCGTAATTCATTATAACCGTATAAGAAATTCATTAAATTTTTATAGCTGGGGATCCAAGATGACTGCGCTATATCTGTGAATTCACAATATCCGTGTTCGTACTAAATGAGTTTTACTGTATGCTTTTCACCTTGTTTCTGTAGAGTTCCCTGCTAACGTGGCCTACCAAGAGTATGATGTGCCTGTGGATTTTCCCTTTCACCTCAAACAGTTCATACCCAATGTTTTCTACTCCTCCCACATAATGGAAGACCATACAGCCTTAGAGAGGTTTGTGAAATGGTTATCTGAGTCACTCAGGTGACATATGTCTTTGTTTTCATCAGTTGTCTTGTGGGTGTTCTTGTACAAAGTAAGTTTGATTATAATGATGATTTAAATAATCAGACGGTTATATTGTATGTTGTTTACAGTTTTCTATTTACATTGGTACAGGAGGCTGAGGATGGTGGTTCTGGTGGCGGTCAGGGATATAAAGCCCGGGGAGGAACTCTTCTCTTCTTACTTCACCATCGTCCACTGAGGGGCTTCCAAACTCTGACAGCCACTTAACATCATCGTCCAGAGAGGGACCACCAAACGCCGTCATCCACTGAGAGGGGCCACCTTACACTGACATGGATAGGGCAGTAAAATAAAGCCATGTTAGTGAGATGGTATGAAGTCACTGAGGCTCCCATTAACATGGATCCAACACCTGAGCTAACTGATATAAAAGCAGTGAAGGGTCAACTCACATTGAACCACCCTGGAGCCCATCAGATGAGAAGTGGAACCACTTAGGAGGTTACTGAAATTAGAACTGTTAAAAGGACATCAATGACCTACCCATTCAGTTCATTGGAAGGAACCACAGGGGAAGTGGCTGAAATATATTACTCAGAAGACCATCAACATTAACTGACCCGTCAGAGCACATCAAGGAACCACTCAGGATACTGTTGAATTGGTACCACTGAGGTAGCCACCAACAAGGAACCTGCTGTAATGGAAACACTCAGGAGGCCACCAATTTTAATATCCCCACAGGCTAATGCTGAAATGAAACACTTCTAGGTTACTGATATGACAAGCATGTGACACTGCCACAAAATCACTTATAAAGTGACAGTGGCCGACAAATGACTCATAAAAAAGAAAAAGGATGTGATCTGATCAGCCAGTCAGACTGGGATGTGTGATGTGTAAACAGTCTAGAGAAATCACTATATTTACTTATAAATCATTAGGTACAAAGGTTAAGCCACAAAAAAAAAAACAGATGTAAAATTATTTTCATTAAAATTACATTTTTGATATGCTCTTTGCATTTGTTGTGTTGCAGTACACAATAATATGTTTAGTAGGGAGACATAACAAATAATCAAGTTTGAGAACCGTGAGGGATTGTGCCAAAGGGTGACAACCCTACTAAGACCTAATAGTTTGTGTTGTCTTCCTACTAAATACACTTATAATCTATAAATAATATGGTTTAATTATCCTGAAAAATGTTAATCTAATAAAGTATAATATATCAGACAACCCACTTCAAAAAGTTTAATTCTACTAGTCATCATGGTCATGTTTTTCAAAATATCTCGACAAATATGGTAATTATGTACCAGGGTCATCTCGCAATTACATTAATTTTCTCAGCAAAAGGGAGACAACCCTCAGCCCTGATAAAAAATTTTATCCAACCAAAAACCATGGGAGAGTGTATATTTATGTACAACAAAACTCGTTTAGTATGAACACGGAAATTGTGAATTTACGGATGTAGCAAAGTCATCTTGGATCACCAGCTATATAAATTAAGGGACTCCGATTCTCAGCCAGGAAGGATAACTCTTTAATTTATAATTTCATTCAAAAAGTCTCAAAATCAAGCTTGAAAATTAAGATTTTTCATGCAACAATTTTCATTATATACCTCTCAATGTCCTTCAATGTGCTTTGAAGTTTCCAGAAATTTCTAATTGAAAGTCGAAATTTTTACCCCCTAAAAGCATTTTAAAATTACATATATCAAGAAATTGATGTTCATTTTTATCTAATCATAGATATCAATGTTTATTAACATGATATTAAATAAGAAGTGATTTATTGAGCTTTGCAATGACAGGAGAATCGTTATACACTTTGCATTGTAAAATGATCGAAGTAAATAGAAGAAATTATTAAAGTACCTTATTTGTAAAAAAAAAAACATGTCCAATTTCTTCAAAAGCCTGGATACCTATGATTTTTATTTTCAAAATGTGTTAATTGATCAAAAAAAATGCATAGCAGGTGTTTTTATTTGCGATTCCTGAAAATATATTTGAGATTTACTAATTTTCTCTATATAATATGATTAATTTGAAAGATGAAGTTTGAAGAATTATCATGGGTTAAAACACATTACTTCGAAAATTCAGAGACATTTATGTGATCATTTTCACTTAGTCAATGCTTAATTTTCAGAACCTGAGGATAGGAGTACCTTAATTAAATTTCCCATATGGTTATAATGAATTACAGATATAGCGAACTAGTTTCATAGGTCCCAGTGACTTCGTTATAACTGAGTTTTGCTGTACACACAGAAATGTTTATGTCCCTTTATCAACAGTATGCTTCCCACTATGTTTTAATTAAAGTATTATCCAAAAGTTTGTCATAGATGCTTTGATTCAAGTTTCAACTAAAAGCTAGTAAAAAATACCCTAAGCACTGAACTCACACAGTGATAGCCCTCTATAATGACCATGATGACCAAGTGAAATACTTGGCAGTCTATGCAACACTCTCTGAAAGTTCCAGGAAATTGAAGTCAGGGGAATAGAATGGACACTAAACCGTGGTTTGCAATGATGGGGTTTGGGAGCAGTTATATTAGCCAGCTGGGCACCCATATATACTGTATGTCTACGTCATACATTGGCGTTTTCAAAATTGGCGCAATCACCTGGTATTGAGTTGTTGGTGTGTATTCATGAATTAGTGCTATACACTTCCTCAGAGTATATTGTATTAAAATTTAAATGATTTCTTAAATTAGCAGTATTCATTAATTTGCACATTCATGTCCATGCAAAAGCATCCAAAATATGAAGCCCTTCTTTTGAAGTACACAAGTTATACAGTATTTATGTTTTGCTATTGAAAATTCCAAAATGCATAAAATAGGTGCACAATGGCATATGTAAAAAATTTGTGCATCGTTTTAAATTTATTCAGTTGTATAACAGAGAATGGATTTTCCAATGGTAGCAAGGACACCAAAAAGCGGACCATCCCTTCACAAAGAGCATATCAATCTATGGGAGATGGGTATCCCTAACATCAGGTCCAGTCCAAAGACTATTTCTACCTATGTAGCTATTAATAGCTGCGTAGGTATTTAAACCTACCAAAAGTTGCAGTTTTTACCTACCTTCTGCTTTACTTGCACTTTGTGGCCCAACACAGAAACGACGCAACAAGGTGAGCACAAAATTTCTTAATCAATCACACTAATGATGGATAGGACAAAAATTTGGCCAAAAAAATGATTACTTCGTATATTTGCAATTTTGCATAAAAATTAATGTAAAATTGCCGATACACGAAGTGATCATTTTTTAGACAAAATTTTGTCGTATTCATCATTAGTGTGACTGAAAAAAAAAATATGGTATTCACCATGTTGCACCGTTCAGTTTTTTGGGCACAAATTGCAGATAATACAGAAAGTAGGTAAAAATAGCTCTGTAGGTAGAAATAGTTTTTGAACTGGAACTGAACATTATGAAAAGAATGACATGCTGTGCTATGGAAAACCCCAAACGTTTCCTGCTCTAATGCATTTCATCGTCGATTTAGTTGACAATTTCATTTAATGTACAGTAGTACACTGTAAATAACACTTTAAGCCAAGTGCCCAAGATTAACAATTGATGTGTTTAATTCAGCAGATGTTTCAATGATCACTTCCAAATCACCAAATCCAGCAAATGTAAAATCATGAATTTTTTTAATGAGTAATTTCACACAGGTATCAAAATTAATTCCTCACACTTAAGTTAGTGCATGCCCTTCAACTGGCACTTTGATTGAAGTAAAATACAGGAATCAACCAAACACAATCAAGCATTATATATTTTTCTTTAATGAATTATGTACAATGAACAACTATTTACACAACATACAATCAATCCCTGGTAAATGATTTGGAGAAAATTTAATGAGATTTGTTTTTGAAAGTTACTTTCAACCCTTTTGCTTTACAAACTTCTGAAATTAAGTCTTTCATGTATGTAATTTCCCGTGTTAATTGACTGACTTTATCATTAAGTTCTTTGTTTTTCTCGGCGAGTTTTTCCTCTTCCTTTTTGAGAACGTCTGCCTCCTCCCTCTTTTTGTTGCGGTATCGAATTGCTGCGTTTTTGTTCTGATCTCGCTTCCTGTCTTTTCGATCTTCGGTGGTAGAACTGTACGGCCCAGATCGCCTTTTCTTTGTCTTTTGTTTCCCACTAGACCGCGATTTCGGTTTATAATCCTCGTCATCACTCTGTAGCGGGGAGTAATCTGGGTCATTGCCGTCACTCTGGCTACTCGGTGAGGAAGGTTCCGATCCTGATAACAAACTGTCTATTTCTTCAGCAGAGAGAGGAGAGCTGATAAGGCTGTCAACACTTCCGACATCAAGCAGGTCAGACTGCGTGGAGGACGTAGTGTTCAGACTCGTGTCTCCATAACCCGAGTCAAACGAGATTTCTGATGGAACCTCAGTCGTGTCACTGCTGGAACTCGCAGCAACAGACTGAAGTGACGCTAAGTGAACACTTTCATCCAGTAAATCAAGATGAGACAACTCTTGCTTAACCACAGGTGTTTGATTCACTCTAACTGGTGGAGATTGTTTAATTGTAATTGGCTGTGTGAGCAAATCGTGTAAAACACTGTGGTTTACGTTTGTGTCTTTTATCACAATGATTGGCTCGCTAGCTTTCGCGACCTCTTGCGTCGTCGGAGTGTTCTGGCCTGCTCCCATGACCTCAAGGAACTGCTCGAGACTTCCTGCCTCCATCCAGTCCAGATCCAACGGATCTACAATGGAAAAACATGTAACTTTAAATATACAATTCTAAGATAACGTGTAAAACAGCAAGGCAAGCTCATTAACATATTAATAAATGTGTTGTATGGAGGACCATGCTTACCATCTTGACTCAGAAGGAGAAGTTCGTCCAGCACTTCCTTGCCGGCTTGGTCGATGACCAGTTTGGGAGCCGGGTCATTACCAGGGAAATACTTTCCCACATTGTCCTCATACTCCGGCAAGATGCTGGACGAATCCACTTCGTCCAGCATCGCCAAATCCTCGAACAATGGGAACTGCTCCATCTCTAGAACTTCCATATCCATCGTTAGTGGTTAAAAATTTACTCAATAGGGGGGTTTCTTGTGAAAATTGTGAAGTAGTGGCCAAGGCCTCGATGAGATGCGGGTAAAGCCTGTTAAAGATGAAAAACATTTTATTATTTTTTCATCAATATCATCGAGAGGATTTCTTCATAAATTTATACGAGATCAACGTTACATTTAACTGCAAACATATAATAGTTCAATATTTGAATGAGTCTCAAGTTCTTATTGTCAACAAAGCAACTTTACTTCTACATATAGCCATCTTGGTCCAACTGCCAAGCATTTCCGGACACGCAGTACAATATGGCGCCATTTTGAACAATACTACAGTAGACGTAAGCACACAATAAACAGAGTTTTTTTCTTATAAAAAGTATATACTCACGCCATGATTATATATTAAAGTTGTCTTTGTGCTAAGCCTAAGCTTTCGCACGCCTGAAGGTCACACCATTTATCAAGCAGCCATCGTTAATCGCTCGCGAACGAGTGCGGATAAATACAGATACGTGCTTTCTGTCTTGTTCTCAACATAACGAATGATCACAACGTGCGCTGGTGCCCGTAGTAGCCTAAATCACCAAGGTCATGTTACTGAGCGATAGAAGTATAACTCTCTTTTTGAAAAAAAATAAATACAGATGATTTAAGATAACTGGTAGATCTTTCACAATATATATATATTTTTATTGTTTTTAAGGAAAAAAGAAGAAATGACGATTGATAGATATAAGGACTATTTTCTATGCACAAGGATATCCCAGTAAACAGACACACATAGTTGCATCAGAAAATTTGGAGATTTGCCAATTTCATAAGGCGCACTTGTTTCATAAGCCGAGTCAAGCCGGTTAATATTCCGGAACCGGGCAAGTCACTTGTTTCAAATACATTTTTAGCCGCCGGGCGGTTAGCCCGGATAAAAATTTCGATGAAAAGCAATATGGCGGATAACGGAGGTAGAAATGTTCTTGATGGTGAAACATTCGTTTTTTATCATTTGTCGTAGTCTCGGTGTCAATAAACATACACTACTGAGATAATAAGAGACTTTTACAACATATTTGTTTATATTTGCACGACAAAAATTTTTTTTTTTTTCAATTTTAAAGCTGCTTTCCAGTTCTGTGGGTAACGAGACCCTATATGTACATTGAATGGAACTAGTAAATATTAAAACGAAATATAACCACTAAATCGTTGTTCTCGTGCGTTCAGATAATTTTGATAATTTTTTTTTTACAGCAACAGCACCAATACCAGCCAATCCGGCTTATTTTTCACTCGTTTCAGCGACACTAACCGGGTTCATAATTTCTTTTGGTAATTTCTTTTGGTTTTCATGATTTTCATTGGTTAGGAGAAACACACCTCCCTACGTCAATTTCCTAATTTAGATCAGGAAACTCATGTTCCAGTATTTGACATGTTCATTGACGATTTAACTTTTTTGTTCTATTTTAAAATAGTCTAATTTTAAAAGTGCATTGTGTAAGTGTATTAGTCTCATTCCAAACATTTTTAAAAAGGTTTCAATATCAAGTCAATGGCGATTGTTGGCAAATATATAAAAAAGAGGCCCATGGGCCACATCACTCACCTGAGCACTTTTGCAATTAACTATTAATTAATGGGGATCTTGTGAATTAGGGATACATGATTTGAACATACTTAAAATGGGGATACTTCAATGTTTCTCTGTCTACTGATGGCTTTAATTTATTTTTAAAAAATTATATTCCTAATAGTCTTTTTCAATGTCGACCCTACCTCACTGGCGGATTTAAGGGGGGCGTGGGGGGCGCACGCCCCCCCCTAAAATTTTCAATGAATGATGTGACTAATATTTAGTATGCCATATTTTGGTACAAAACTAACCAAACCACTGTTATTCTGCCTGGTTTTACTCTTAAAATATACAAAAATCCAGGAGCTTCCGGGGGCTGCGCCCCCTGGGCCCCCGGCCACCATTTAAAGTATGATATGACTAGTATTAAACACGTCGTACTTTGGTTCATCACTAACCAATACCACTATTAGTAAGAAATAAGTAAGTACATTGTTTTTTATAGTGGAATGTATTACACTACAATGAGAACTGAAAAACATTCAATACAATTATTATTCAAACATCCGGACCTATATGCCAATTTTAACAAAAATAATTGAAAAATATGCACTATTATTGTGCCTGGTTTTACTCTAAAATACACGAAAACCCAGGAGCTTCGCCCCCTGGGCCCTCACCAGGGCTTCACCCTCACTGGGGGCCTTAGGGCGGCCCCCAGACCCCTTGCCTCAACAAAGTTATCCACGCCCCCCCTAACCACAAATCCTGTATCCGCCCCTGTACCTTGAATCTACACTAATTGGGGATGCTTCTGTACTAATATGACTAATCATGGTTTCTCTGTTCTCAAAAAAAAAAAAAAAATGAAAATGATCTTTCTTATATTGATCTCACATTGCAGGCACGGATCTAGAATTTTATTTTTAAAAAAGTGGGTGCCTGGGTGGGGTTCCAAATTTATTAAACCCCCAGAACCAAAGTTTGGGGGTATGCAGGAATTTTCTTGTCAGACTGTTTTGCACTTTTTTCCAGGCTAAAACTTTTTTAAATCTAGGGAAAAACACTTGAAGCTCAAACTTCTACAGAGATTCCTACTGATCCGCCAGTAGTACATACTGTAATTTTGGAGCAATACATTTTCAAGGTCACTGCCCCAAAAAGTATTTTTTAAAAATCTAGCAGGGGCGTAGCAACCGGGGGGGGGGGGGCCGGGCTTTTTTCACCAACCTTACTTATACTATAGGAAACGTTAACGATGTTCGATCCTGATATTTAAAGTCTTAAAAATTTTTTGCCAAGTATATTTTTAGTTTCTTCATACATAGCTTAATTAAAATTCAAATAAAAAATGGGAGTCAATTCGCTTCTTTTTGCGCTACAGTACATTTAATATGACCCTTTTGCACTGAAATTTGTGTCTTAATTAAATATCAGATTTTTGACGTTTTCCCTCCAATATTTTTATCCAATTAAAGCATGAAACAAAATGAACTCTAAGTTTATTTTAAAAAAGACACTTAAAAATTGTGACTAAGAAAAAGTTTCAAATTGCTTCGCATAATCAATTATTTGACTTTTCTGCACTAATAAAAAGTGATTTTTCTAGCATTGAAAATTATTTTAAAGTCTCAAACTTTTTCTGATTTTAATTAAGCAAATAGGTCAAAATTATATTGAATACATAGAAAAGGACATCAAAAGTGGGGGTATATGATGTAAATTTTTAGATATTACTAAAAAAGTGTCAATTTTACGTTAAAATTGGCTCAATTTTTCCCCGGATTTTCAGAATATATTAACTATATTTGTTGATAGAATGCATAAGAAATAATTTAATAGATATTTCAGAACCAGCATAACACATTTCACTGCAAAATACAGCTTTGTGCGCAACCAGGTTGGAAAAATAGGAATTCAAAATTAAGAGTACTGTTATAGTTCAAAATGGAAAAACTGATCATTTTTGTCTAAAAAAAACCTTCCGCCACAAAATATAGTCCCTAGCTTAATTCTACTTGAATGGAATTTAATCGCGGTTTTTTCATTGAATATATAGTTAAATTTGCACTGTAGAATTCAGAATTAATGTTAGAACTTAAAAATGAAGCAGAATTTTATAAATAAAAGACCTGACCAAAATACGCTAAAAATCTCAGGATCGAACGTCCTTAATTGAAAGCCTGGTTGCCTCCCCCCCCCCCCCCCCCCCCACCACACACACACACTTTTAGTGATGTACCGAAAATGTAGTATTAGAATTGGTACTGAAAGTTGAAAGTAGTTGACACTGAGAAAAAGTTTACCTCAACCCCCCCCCCCCCCCCCCCCCCCCCCCGCCTCCCACGAAATAGGATTTTCGACTTTGGGTGACTTTGGATGACTTTGGGTAACTTTTTTCCTTTTTTTTCACTTTCAAAAACGATGCTAAGTGCCTGTTTAGGACATATCTTTGTTATGGATATCCACTGGAAGCTCATTCTTGGTACTGACCAATCGTTGTGCCTGACCCTGACCCTAGAGATTTATTACCTATGGGTGTTTTCCAGTGGCGGATCCAGAAGGGGGGTTATAGGGGTTGCAACAAACCCCCCCCTTGGATTTGCCAAAAAAGAAAGAAAAAGAAGAAAGTCCCAAATTTTTGTTGTGTTTTACAATAGAAAATATTCAGTGAAAGGCTAATGTTGTAATGTATAAAGAAATTCGATTACGAATACAATATAAAACCCCAGTCCCGTTACAAAATAGGATTTTCGGGTTCGGAGATATAGTTTCCTTTCTTTTTCAAAAACTTTTCAGATAATCCATACAAGTATTTTTTCCCAGGTAAATCAACCTCCCACTTTTAAAAACCATACTCCACTCAGTATCCTTTTGAGTTATTTACCTACATATATGTGTAAAATGTACATTATAATAGCTTTTCCCCTTCACCCCCGCCCCCCCCCCCTTTGAAAAATTTCTAGCTACGCACCTGTGTTGTGACCTTGACCCAGCATAATTCCAGCAAATTCAAGGTCACTAATACAAAAAGGGTAAAATTCATAATCGGTATAGATAAACATGACATGTCCGTATTTCTTTGCAAGATTTCTAAAGAGCAGAGGATTTATGCTTATAAACAAGATCTTCTTGGCAATTTCAAGGTCATATTGACAAAATAAGAATGAGCAAAAATTGCAGCAGGGTGGGGGATTATTTTCTTTTTTTTTTAATTTTCTGAACTTGCTCCTCAACCTTGAAATTTCCAAAGAGGGATGTAAATCCCTGTTTCATACCCCCACCCCTTATGAAAGATCGGCACTTTTGCTTTTACACTCAGTCTGAATTATGTAGACAAAAATAAAAGCTCATTATTTACATTTGCAAACACTCCGGAGTTAGTTTTTCTTTTCTCTTCAATGTGTGGTCTCTGTTAAGGTTGAATAAATTATACATAACGCATGTGCACAATTTTTTTTCATATTCATAACTGAATATATTGTTTTGAAGTGTTTGAATTGAGAGACAGCACCCTTAATGTTTATAAGGCAGAGTCAAAATACAAGGCCACAATTTTGTATGACCTTTCTAGGTTATTTATTAGAGCATTGTAAATCTTGCGTCTCTTGTTTATTATATGCACTAATCCTTGTAAAAGCTTAGTATTGGTAAAGAACACTCATATTAAGTCAGTTTCCTTCTGCAGACAGAATTTCTGAATTAAAGGACACAATTAAAAACTTGCCAGGTTGATAAATTATAATCATTTTATAATAAAGTCACATTTTTATTCACTATACACAAGATAAAAGTCAACATGAAAAAGTTTTCATTAAAACCTTAAGATGCACAATGCAGTGTTATGTTTGGCTTATTGCTTGCATGAACGTTCAATACACAAAGTTCTCCAGTGTTTGCCAAACCTCCATGAAACAAATGTCATTATATATAGTTCCAGATATCACATTTCTCTTAAATTGGACCAGTTCCTGGAAATCAATAGCTAAGGTCACATCAGCTAAGGTCACATCTATGTACAAATGTAGTTCATGGTGGATGAGGAGAAGAATAATCATCACATGATCTTGACAATGAATGGTTCAATGAAGAGAATGGAATATTCCGGTCATCCTGAGCACCCCCGACACCCACAATGGACACACTCCACAATCTTACCCTAAAAAGGAAAGAAGCATCATTTACAATATCTTCCAAATGACAAAGTCCTGATACAACTTTTAAGACTAACTTAAAATGAATCTATATTTAGTTGATCAATGAATTTTAATTGGTGTTAAGTCTTTTGCTATATTCTGTGATTTTTAATGAAATGTCACACTTACTGCCTCTAGTTTAGACTTGGGAACACGACAGATACAGTTGGCTCCGAAATTTGTGTCCCTCGTTTGTATACATCTCAGACAGCATAGATTTTCATAGCCCTGCTTTTTCCACTTCGCAATCAAATTCTTGTCTGCAATATTCTCTTTCAGGCAATATTCATATAACTCTGTATCAAAACAAAACAAAATAAATGGATAGAAACAAGACTGTAATAATACATGTATTTGTAGGATAATTGTCTAATTAGAATGTTTAACTTTCTTGATACATGAAATATCCATCATCTTTTTTAACATTTAAAAAAAAAAATAAACACAAAATACTTGAACATCAAAGTTCACAAAGGAATTCATTCTCTCAGTCTCAATTAACTCTTTCTCAGTTTTGGTAAAATCAGAAAATAGATAAAAATGTGAGCTATAAGGCGTACGTCTACTGATGGCCTTCCTTCTGTAAAATAAATCGTAAATGTATCTAGACTTCTGGTGGTGGAGTCGGAATATTGGCCACAGTCCCTCAACTTTTCTCTTCCCTTCATGTGGATCAGTCTCAGCTGAAATGAATAACAGTATGTTAATATTTCATAAAAATAAACATATTTTCATAGCCTTTACAGAATGATTTCTATTTTATTGTACAGTATAAATATATACAAAATGGGGTTAGACTTTACTAGTCCCCAGATTTGCAAGCTTACTACACAGTTTGACTGATTAGGATAATAAACACGGGTGATAACTTGTACTAAGTCATGAGTGCATGTAATCTGAACAATCAAGAGAGTTCAAAACGTAAGGTGGCATGTAAATTTGAAGCTAGAAAAAAACGTTGAGAAAGTTAGTTGAATTTTTGTCTTTACTTGGATTACTAGTATATTTTAGGTTTAAATACTTACAAAACCCCAGAAAGGCTTGTTATAATTAATTTGGAAGTTATTTTCAGTGTAAATCCCTTAAAATATTCTTCAAAATCGTTTCGGAGCGATTCTGTAATTTTTTGCTACATTTCAAGTATATGGGAGGTATTCTAACTATGGTTAGGGCTTGTGCTTGTCCTTGATTATGTATCTCACTTCACAAAAATTTGCCCAAAACAGCAGTAACCTTTTGAAGGAATATAAAGAAAAACTTTTAATAAAGTCACCATGGCAATATTATTCAGAGACTAATAATGGCATTATAAGAGAGATTCTTGAACAGTAGTATTAGTAACCTTTTGACGGAATATAAAGAAAAACTTTTAATAAAGTCACCATGGCAATATTATTCAGTGACTAATAATTATAAGAGAGATTCTTGTAGCCTTTTGTATGAAATGTTTTGTTTAAATATGACCAAAACTGATGAATGGGTAGTATTTTGTAAGTTAAAACACAAACATTTGGTCCAATGTCCCTTTTTCTTAATGTTCTATTTTTCTAGATATTGCATTTTTCACCCAGTTTACTCCTTTGTTTACTTCTCCACATGCCCCAGTGCTAAAAATAGCACCAAATGACATTTCATAAAAACGGGAAGTAACTCTTAGACTAAGATGGGGATAAACACATGTACATTTTATCAGAAAGTTAATAAAGTTAAAACTTACAAAACAAAGCATGGGAAATTGATTAAATACAGGGAAATATGAAATTTTGAAAGAGTAATTTTTTTTCTGGCACAGAAACTTGAATCGCATGCATGACAATTATCATTCTCATACTCGTAATTGTTTTATTTTAAAAAAAAAACGTCTAATCATGTAGTGAACATGTTGAAGTTCTCCAGAATTATTTACATCATGCCATGTGTACAGGATAATTAACCCTCAAAATAATGATCATCACTGATCAGCTGATTGACTAGATCCCCATTGTCATGCTTCACAGAATAGTAGCCGATTAACGACAGTGGTTGTTTTAGCACGGCCCGGCTCTGAGCCTCTCTCTTGAGGTGCATGGCAGTTGTAGTATAAACACAATTATAAACTTCTCAAGTGATTAAAAAGTAGTGTTAGGACTGAAATATAATAGAATTTAATAATGGCGGCTGTTGATTTTAACCATGGCGTGCCACCATGGTGAAACCCCTAGTGGAGAACTCTGCTTATGGCGACACTTTGTTAAATCACCTTAGTACCAGTAAAGTCATTCCACAGAATGTTCAACACAATATTTTACAGTTCAAACTCTAGAATAAAACACTGACCACTCAATCAGGTGGCCAATTTTGTGGGTGACCAAATGGTTTGGTACCTGTAGAAAACATTTAATTTGAACCTTGAGAAAACCTTTTTTTAACATAAAGTGTACTTTCTTTATTACTTTAAATGTTGGATTGGTAAATTTTCAGATAACGGTTGTTTTACTGATATATTTGATGATAAAAACTCTTACCCATTGTTGTTTATGTAAAACAAGATCATAGATGGTTTGTAAACATGTATATAAAATCTCTATAAACAGAAAAATAAATAAAACTGTATATTACCCTCTCTCATTTTAGCATCAAGCTCGTCGATTGTGGGTTCAATGAGTTCCCATCCCTCAGGCGGGGGTTTTCTGCTTCTTTTTACTTTGGGCATTTTTCTCTAATCCCAAAACGTAAAATGAGACGAACAGACAGACAGGACTGTTTGGAAATCCTCGAGGTTTATACTCTTTTCACAGAAGACTCCCGAAACTATGACTCAAGGGAGAAATTATTATTTTTCCCAAAAGACACTCAGAATACAGTGGCATTTGAGTGGACGTGAAATATAAAGATTTCTAGTCGTTTCGGCCTGTTTTAATTTCGGCCCGAAGTATTTTCGGTGCCTAGTAGTTTCGGCCTGAAGTTGTTTCGGTCTTAGTCGTTTCGGCCTCAGGTAATAACTTAGTAATACATTTTCTAACGTGTATTTTTCCTATCAGAATGTATAATAATGTATCCGAAGCCATCAAAATAGTTAAGTGTATTTCACAGTATTTCCCTGATTTTTTTTTTTTTTTAATTATTATTCATCAAAAATTTTATATATTTAAAATCAGGAGCAGCAGCACTACATAAAATAAAGAAAGTCAACCACATGTATATATATATTAGAACATTTTTAATTTTATTTTATATATTTTATTGGCACAAACACAATTATAGCAGTGTTTTCCCTAAGAACCGGCTACCGGCCAAATTGAACGCTTCAATTGACAAAAATGCCGCCTTGAAATAAAAATTTGTTGTAAGATCGACAGAGATTCTGTTCATAAACCTAAACCCCTATAGCTAGCCTGTTACAACTGATCTCTAACCCTTTACTTTGAAATTAAGGGAAAACATATAGGTACATTAATTTGAAAATGTAGTTGACATGAGTCACATGCCATGCATTGTCATCTCAATCACAGTATAATTTTTGTCACTGTCCAGCACAATTATTTACATCAACATGGCTCAAGAATTAACATTTAATTACTCATGGTCAGGCCGTGTATCCACTAGCTATAGACAAAAAGAAAAATAAATAAATAAATACAAACATTAAAAGATTTTTATAATTTAAGTATATTGTTTCAAATGAGGTTTGGATTTCTTATAGACCTCTTTTAAAGAAATATATTTTTCTGTTGTGCGAGAAGAATTGTTTGACCTGTAAATAAATGCAGATACCGAATACCTAACTTCCTTTCTTTTCTCGTTAAGCTATACATTTTATCACTTTCAACACATTATTGTGAAACTTTGAAAAATACTTCATAATTAACTGATGAGCAATAAATTTCACAGCAGCAGACTTTTCCGAATCTTCACGAGTTCGTATAATAAGGTTGTAAAATTACATGATCATGGTCATGGGCTGCTACGCATGTAATAAATATAAATATATTCATTACTTAAGTTAGGAAATTGCAATTAGCTAAAAAAAAATCCCATCTGGCATCTAAATGATGCAGGGGTAATTAATATAATTATGTCAATGCATGATAAATCGAAAATTTTGTAATTTACTTCTATCGCCTACAATCCTAATATCTTATTCTGTTGAAATCTCGTATAACATTTTAATCAATTGTTAAAATTTAATTTTTAAAAAATCATTCGTGATTTTCACGTGTCATTGCCGAATTAACCCCTTTTACAATACTTCTTTTGGACTTTTATTTTGAACTTTATATGTTTCATCTGTTATTCTCATTTATCTTATTTCTAAATCTTTATTGTTTAAAAACCAAATTTTTCAAATCCCTCTTTCCCGATCAACGACATATATGATATTTTGACCCAAACTCCGTGGTCATATACAACATTTATATATTAAACATACATCCCCCAATTATTATTTGTATTTTTTTTTCTTAGTTCGAAATAACCAGACGTTTATGAAGTTTTTTTGTTGTTGTTGTTGTAAACATTACATATCAACGCAAATTAATCGGAGTTTAGACTAGTAGCCATGCATTATTGTGCAATATTATTTTTACATACCTGCCATTGCTGGTTTTCTTCTGGTGATGTTTAGGAACAAGTGATACTTTGAAATCGTGTGGAATCCTTCATATAGGCCCCTCATTTTCTGACACCTTGAGTTATATCTTGTGTATTGGGGAAAGTGACACACTGTCACTTATTGAGTTTACTGAATTTTTTCTTTACCCTCCCCGATCAGACCTCATCATCTGACACTTCACGGTATACCCTGTATACTGGGGATACCTTAAAAATCCGTTCTACCCTCACTGACAATTTTACAGTTACTTTGACAATAAATGTCATAGTTTAAAGAAAGAAATGAAATGTACACGCATACTGACAATTTTACAATTACTTTGACAGTATGTTTGACAATAAATGTCATAGTTTAAAGAAAGAAATGAAATGTACACGCATACACTTTAGAGTGAATATATTTTAATCCAGCTTTATTTTATCATACTTTATAAGTTTATATATAAAATCATAATGCACTTTCCTTTAAAAATAAAACACCAAAAATTCAAGTAATTAAGGTCTTCCGTTTCCAACGGAAGACCTTCTACTGATTCTGATGATTAAGATTATTCTTATTATTCTTTTTTTTTTTCTTCCTAGACGCCAACTTTGAGGCCTCGTATCTCGCTCATTTTTCAATGGATTTTGTTCAAATTTTCAGACATTATAGACGGTAATAAACTCTATCAGAATGCTGTCGATAATTTCAAAAAGTCACTTCCGGTTTTGAGTTATTTCCCTTTAAACGAAAAATTATAGCCTTTCATTTCCAGACAAAGGCTCAGAGACCACTAGAGCTGGAGTAGAAATTTTACTGGTTTTAGATAACAAAAGGATTGAAGTTGTGCACATCGGTTTTTGTTTTTCAATTTCTCTATTCAAAATGGCGCTATACAGGGGTCAAAAAATAGAACGCCTAAAAGAGCGAAAATTTACACATGTTTTCCTTTTTATCTTGAAAACTAAAAATATTTTGTTAAGACATGTTGAACAAAAGTTGTGCATAATTGCAAGGGCTTTCATTTAATACTATTGAAAAGGGGCTGGCCCCTAAAATAAGGGATCTCTGGAGCTTGAAAGTTTTTGCTTTATAACTCAAAAACGGTAAATATTTCGTTCTAGATCTATCGAGCGGAATTGTTCTTTAACACCTTTTTGATCTGATGAGAATGTTTATTTGTTCGAATATATACCGGGGGTTTTGCATAATATGCAGTCGAAAGCAGGCCAGGTAAACATGTAGCGTTTTTATTGGACAAGTAAATCTGACCTCATAATGTGTATAACTTGCTATAAATAATATACCCTACGGTATTTAATGTTGATTTTCTTCAAAATAAGGTTTTAAACGTGTTTTATGATTAACTATTAAATTATGTATTACAACTACTTTTTCTATTTTTCTTTATAAAATTTAATTAGTTTTATAGTGAACACGTCTTTAAAAGCGGAAGATATAAAATCTATCTTTCTACGTTTATTATTGTAACAAACTATATAATTAATCTTAAACTTTATACATTGAATAATTCACGATCATTAGTTGCATACATTTTACGATCCCATTGTTCAGCGAGATGTTTTACAGTTATGTAATCAAAGCCGCGAATCCCACGCTGTCGATCTAGGTCATGAGTGTACCAGGCACCTGTGGACATAAACAAAGCAAGTGTTTGTGATTGTATTAGACCATTGTGTAGAAAGACCTAACAATTAATAGAAAACTGTGTTTTTAATTACATCGCGATTCAATAAGATTATTTTACCCATCTTTCATATTTAATCGTAATTCCAAACACTGGTGCATAAAATCATTTTGAACTGTGTTCGCTTTCTTTGGCCTGTTCTCGCAAAATAAAAAAAAAAAACTCTATTCTGTGTTAATGTATTTTATTTCAATTGTAATTGAGAAGGGGCTTCGGGAAATAATTATAATTAGTGATGGATAGTGATAGGTAATATTGTACATGTACGTTTTATTTTTACCATGATCACTCTTTTGTTTCTCCATTAACCGGGGTATCATTTTTTTAAAAGATTAAATAAACATTGAACATAAAAAGTAATTTATAATATACTATTATTCACGTATTTGTAATACCGGTATAGCAAACAGGTTATATCCAGCTATGTCGCTTTGTGTCTAAAGTTGTGTTGCCCGGTCCTCGTTTACAAGCACGTGGTTGCAGAGAACAATGGGCATATATGAAAATCCATTGTGTACTCCGATAGTTACAAATTGAAAATTTGGTTTGAAATCTGTCGTTTCTTTCATATCATTTCATTTCACACTATTTCAGCTTGTTTAAATCAATCGTAATCGCTTGTACATTTATTCATTGTAAGTTTTATGTATTTTGATAGCCGAATAAACACTAGCTTGGTTTGCAATACCCCCCTGTTTTTATCGAGATGGAGATTGTTTTATGAATATTAAACTTACATGTACGCATGCATGGTAGTTGTAAGTGGAGGTGACGTTTCTAATTCACGGGAAAACATCCAACGTTAGATTAAGCACTTTTGAGTATGCAGTTATTTGCTACTAAACTTTAAAATGTTATTGTACAAAAATAATATACTTTTTCGTTGAATAAACAGAATATCTCAACATTGCACGATTTGACATGCTTGTACATGTTCAGTCAATGTAAGTATAAATATACATGAATGCACTTTTGCCTAGAATAACGGCCAAAATATATACAACCAGAGTTTTAGAATACGATTTTTAAAAAAATGAAAATTCGTTAATGCTTTTTATCATTAACCAGTATCTCGACGATAAAATATCAATTTTAATTCTTTACCAAACGTCCTCCCGGTCAGTCATTGTTAATGTTGGTGACATGAAATGTAGATACTAGGGTCTCAGTAAATAATTTCACCTTAATTATCCTTATCGTCATTCGGTGTTTTCATCATTAGAAATAAATTGTTTGAGGACGTCTTGTTTTCTCTTCTCACATTGGTAACGCGTAGGAAAAAGTTTTTAAACAAAGCAAACGGCATTTTACAAAAAAGGAAAACGAGAAGAAAAAACGTGTCTATTTAGATTAAGAACACAACGCATCATTGTATTTGATTAATCCACATACGGTTTTTTCCTTCTCCCATGCATTTCGACTATACGGAAAAAAAAGGATCAGTAAATCCTTTGGTAATATTAAAAGAAAGGTGTTGTACCTTCAAAAGACACTATATCCCACAGGCCTTCAGATCGCTTAGAAAAAAAATTGTGTGTATTTTTTTTTCCAACACCTCAATTTTTTTTCTAAGCGATCTAAAGGCCTGTGCTATATCCGAACAGTTATATTACACAGACTACCAAATATATCACGGCGTCCCTGAAAGAATTATTTTTAAATATTTCAATTAATTCTAATTTACTTCAAAGAAAGCCACGCTGTTGTATACAAACATTCCAAAAATAATCTTTCATGTTTCATGGACCGACACGTGGTTAAATTTCCTCTCATCACTATAAGTACCCCCCCTTTAACATGTTTAAAATGAATATACAATGTCTTCCTTCTAAGCCGAGAATGTTAATTGGTTGATTTGTTTTTGTACATGCGTATATACATGTAGATTAAGGCTGGTGTTGAATTCCGAAAGAAAGTCACAACCTATTTTTTTATGTAAACCAATAATCATTCTATGCCCCGCCATGAATATGGCTTGGGATATAATGTTTGTCATGTCGGACGTCTTCCATCCTGCCTTATCTCCTTCCGTCACTCTTTGCCTTTAGCTAAGTTCAAAGCTCAGTTTCAAACAAACTAACCAAGATATTCTTAAAAATAATCAAACTTCATACACAGTATAGCTGCAGAAAAAAAAATAACAGACAGGAGAGTTGTACTAAGCCACCCACTGAAAAAACCGGTCCTACAAAACAGAGTACGCTAGTACATATGTACGATAGAAGACTTTAGAGTAAGCTAGTAATAACTGTATATTTATTGCGAAAAAGTTTTTGAAATAAAGCCTTTTATTGCCTGACGGCTGACGTCACGCTAAGGATCAATATTTCCTGGGTTCGAAGAGGTCACAGTTAGCCAGCAAAATTTTGTGCATGCTGATTATCATCGGATTTGTTACGTATGTATTTCAGCAACAACAGTTATCTATTCTGTTAGCAGAAAAATAAACATATTGCTAATACAATACACTGAAGTATTTATTTTCTCTAGCCTTTTGCTAGCATATATTCATTTCATGAGAGTTCTTATACGGATATATGTCCGTTTGACCTTTTTTCTGCGTTTCTATCCTACTGGATTAGTCCATTTGTCTTCTAGGTAAGGGGTGACACTATTATTTCGCGCCAAAATGTCACATGTAGGTTTTAGCACCCTTTTTCTGGACTATTCTATTGAATGAAAATGAAAACTGCATGAATTATGTAAAGTCTGTTCTTTTTTGTCAGAATCCTGGTCGAGCTTTGGGAAAAAAAAAACAAACAATTCGGTGACATTGTGAAATGAGTTAGAAGTTACATCATTTAAAGTAATAAAACATTTGATGTTGACCCCTCATTTCTGGGAAAAACTTCCTGAATCCGCACCATGGCATTCATATATCGCCGTCAAGTTTGTTGGGTCATTTAAAGCTTTAATTATTTTTCCCACGTTTCCAACAATCTTTGATACTTTGGCATACCCAAGAAACTATCAATCATATTCTACACGTCAGTCAAAATTGTTAGATTCCCAATTTCTTGTAGTTATCATATTTTCAGCTGCCACCTTTATATGTAGCAATGCTTTCAAGCATTAATCAAATGTTTTTCCTTATTTACTCATCCTTTAAAACCATTTTAGACTTGCGGACAGAGGTGTTCATCTTTACGTCCCGGGTTCGAATCTACAGCGGGACATGATCATGATTTCATTTTTTATTTGAGATACAAACAGTATATATGGTTTATGTTTTGTGCAACATCTCCATAATTTACACCAGTGAAATAATTTAACCCCCCCCCCCCCCCCCAATGTAAACGTTTATAGTTTACATGTATCATGCTCATAGATTATATAGATATTGATGACATTAGTCAGCCAAGCTTTTTGAAAAGCTGTTACTTGTGTTATTATTTGTTTATTTATTCGCGCAAAGGACATTGGGTAGTAAAGGAGCTCTGGGAATGTTGCACAACAAAATTTGCTTGACGTGTGTACAATTCCGAACTTCTTTTCTTACACGTTATTCTATTGAGCTCGCTGCGCTCGCTATTATACGGTTCTTGAAAATGACGGTTCTTGAAAATGAAAGAAACGTCGTAGTCTTTATGAAAAGTAACCGATTTTCTTGATTGTACAAACATTTTCTAAGAAATTAGGGAGGGGGGGTAAGTTATACAAAGAAAACAAATAATATGTGTCATTTTAGATTGCCGACGTGCAATGATCTGATACATGTGTACCGTATTTATGAGAGGTTCATATCTCTTCCCTCGTCTGAAAAGTGTCGCATCCATTGATATTTTCTTTTTTGCTACGATTTAATGCTTTAAAAATGATTTCTTTATTTAATTTGGTTATTTTCGATATATAAATATCTGTCCCACCTGTCTGTGGGATGCGATAGTAAAGTGTCTGCCGTCCGTTCGTCTGTCTAGCTATCTGTCTGTCTGTAAACAATTTTTCAAAATACTACTCTTCCTACCGTTTTGGTCTGATTTCAATATAACTTGGCACACAAGTACACATCTCTAAGATACATAGTATAGTGCATCGGTTTTTGAATGCTTTAAAATGCGACTTCTTCAACAGTTTTTGTCTGAATTCAATATTGTTTGGCACATAAGTAGCCTTCACTAAGATACAAAATATCGTGCATCCGTTTTTGATTTCGATGAACGGTGTTGCCATGGTTACTAAAAATAGATATTTCTGTATATAATTCCTTAAAAATGCTACTCCTCCTACAGTTTTAGTTTGATTTCAATATTACTGGACACACAAGTAGACTTCAATGTGATACATAATTAAGTGCAACGTTTTTGATTTCGATGAACGGTGTTGTCATGATTACAAAAAATAGAAATTTATGTGAAATTCCTTTAAAACGCTACTCCTTCTACAGTTTTGGTCTGATGGCAATGGCTAGTTTTCTCTTCCTTTGTTATAAGTACAAACAAGTAGAGCTATAGTCTCGGCATTGTGTTGAACCCAATGAATCATTTTGCCTCGATTATAGTCAGAAAAAAAAACTCATGGCTGAACATATCCAGTCATTTGGACGAGTCAAGATTAGTGACAGTGAAACTGTAAATTCGCTACCATTTTTCTACTAGTGAAACATTGCTGATATAATGCAGGATGGGACGTGACCTTGACTCGAGTTCAAAGTCCCCAAGGATAAGATGTTTTTGGTTGGATGCATGGACAGAAAGAATATCTAAACAAAATGTTTGAAATTTTCCAGACGGTAACACATGGATAATATTTTTATAACGAGAGGTAGTCATTGCTTAGATCAAAGTCATTTGGAGAGTTCAAGGTCACTTGGAAAGTTCAAGGTCACATTTACACATGTATATTCCTTTACAGTCTTTTTCCTAGCTAAACATTGCAAGTTGCTTCTCTTAAAAGGTTTAAATTTTCACTTGTAGAACTTAAGAATGTGGCTTTTGACCTAGACTCAAGGTTACGTCTTCTTATCCGTTGCTCCAACGGAAGACCTATTCGTTGCTTTGCAACGAGCTCGGCTCTAGTTTAATTCTATAATTTAACTGTTTAAAACGTATACACAATTGAATGCCTGGAAAACTTTGATGCCGAAGTTTTCTACTTGTGTGAACAATCAATCAATAGCAGTTGTTTATCAACTTCAATTTTAAAACACAAAACAATAAAATAATTTCAAAAAAGATTTATTCACTCCATTTCTTTATCATTTTTTTTTAAATCATTTTTTATCGTTTTCTCTTTTATCATATTTTTACCACTTTCTTCAACCCAGGCCGAAACGACTAGGTATCTAATGCCGAAATTGCTACAGTCCGAAAAAACTTGAGGCCGAACGAACCTCGGGCCGAACTGAAGAAAGGCCGAAACAACATGCATCGAATATAAATACGAACTACTCCCTTGAGAAAAAAGGCGAAGTGTGGCTGATTTCATCTAAACATGCCAAGAGGTAAATATGTTTATAACACAATTCATTTTCTTTTTAGGGGGTAAAATATAGTAGTCAAATTTTAGTTATTCAGTTAGAATGTGAAATAAGCCCATTAATAGCTGAAAGTCTGTGGTTACAGTCAACCACCAAATGTGTGGTTGTTGAGTTTTATCTAATTAAATCCAAAGAAAATAAATAGTTTGTTAACCTAAAATACGAAATATGTCATCTCTGAAATTCATTCAGGTTTAAAAATCGATGTAAAGGGTTTAGTAAAGCTGTTTGTTTGAAATCAGCTCGAATTTCCTCTTCAAATTATATATGATATGATTGTTAAAAAATTATTTAACATGTTTAAGCTTCTAGTTCTAAAACCACAGTGTTTCTGACATTTTAGTTGTTTTATTGGTTTGACATGCCTCCATTGAGTCCCATCATGTGCATGATAAATTATGAAAGTGTTAAGTCCATACCCAATAACCTCGTCCTTCTTAATTTGAATTTCTTGACAATTAAGGCTTGTTTATTGTTTGATAGGAGGGCGTGGCGGAAGGGGAGGGGGATATGGTCCCAAGAAAAACTACAAAGGACAGAGACGACATTTCACAGATGCAGAGGAGCTTAAACAGCAACAGGAAAGAGATAAAAAACAACAGGACTGGAGGGTAAATATTCTAACCATGGTGGATTTAGCTTTTTTGGTTCATACAGGCCACGCAAATGTGATATATTGTGAAGTCACTAATTTTCTTGACATTGAGGGATTTATTCATGAAGTTATGATACTATAAAGATTTTATAGAAACAGTTGGAATTAATTGTCAAATTTTACTTGATTTAAATTGGAACAACAACTTACAAGAATGAAATTGCTGGTATGACTGATATGATGTAGAGATTATTAGGAGTCTAAGTATAGATTGATTATTACAGAGACAGCATAGTATATATTGTATTAAAGGGTTAAAATCTTACAGTCTTTATATGGATTGATTATTATAGAGACAGCAGGGTATAGAGAGTGATGAAGAAGAGGAGGAGGGGAATCAGGCCACCCCCCAGAGCAGAGGGGCCCCGGGGGACCTCCCTCCCTCCGACTCGGACTCAGAAGAGGACAGTGACGACGAGGTAAACCAACCAGAATCAAGTGTTCATATCGCATGTTATTCTCAGTTATTGATTTCATCAACTTAGCATTATGTTTTTACTGAAAACTGGATTAATCTGTCAGTAATTTGAACGATTGAATCAACCTTTACTTTGCATTTAATTGTGTTTTGCTTGAGCTTAGTATTTTACTTTTGTTACCAAATATCATTGATTTAATAAATGATGGTTTATCAGGAAACTTGAAATGTCTTCAAAATTATGGATATTTTAGGTTAATAAAATTTTTAAAGAGAAGGTATCCACATTCAACTATGATTTTATAAAACAAAACCCAATAAATTTTATTTTGAAGTACTGTATTAGTGATCAATTGTACACTTTTAAAATCTTGATTTTTATTGAATTCTTCAAATTTATTCATAGCTAAGACAAATCGAAGCATACATTATTGGAAAATCGTTGTTCTATATAGAAAAATCATAGGCACCTAACTTTACTTATTTTTCTTTTAATAAAATATACCCCTTACCTATAATAATAAACTAGGTAGGGGGTTATTTTTTTATTAAAAGAAAAATAAGTAACATCAGGTGCCTGTGTTAGAAATAGGGAGGATTATTGAATCTCTTATTTTCAGGACAGGAAAGCAAAAGGTGTGGAACATTTGATAGACATTCAAAATCCAAACCGGGCCGGCGGAAGGCAGCTAAAGAAAGTCACAGAACTGGATACAGGCGGGAAAACCCAGCTAACGAGACGGGAAAGGTAAGGAAATACTGGAGACTGTAAATCACTTTTTATTCGTGAGAACTTTATTTTCACATAATTACACTAACAGTGTGCTCGTGAAATTTTAATTCTCGCTTGTAATAGTATTCCTTAGGATTACATTGAGCAATATTACCACAATTCGTGAAAATTTAACTTATCAAGAGTAAATGACTATCTTGCGAAAACCAGGTGTAGCAAAAATTAAGTGGTCTACAGTATTATAGTCGGGTATATCAATCACATTTATGGATAGGTGAGAAGACAAAGCTAACAGTATGTGAATAATAAAAATAAAAAATTATTGTATTATGTATATTCACAAAGAAAAGAAGATTGTCACACATCATTTATCTTCTAGGTCTCAAAATCTTATTTTTGAAAATAAATGTGACAAATTTCTTTTATTTAAAGGGAAGAAATAGAGAAACAGCAAGCTAAAGCTCGCTATCAACAGCTCCACATGGAGGGGAAAACAGACGAGGCTCGGGCGGACTTAGCTCGCCTGGCCATTATACGGAAACAGAGAGAAGAGGCAGCTAAAAAGAGGGAGGAGGAGCGGAAAGGTAAGAAATCTTAAAGTAATTGAAAGGAAAGATACAGGAATTATTACTTAAGTCTGAATGTAATCGATAGGAAAGGTATAGGAACTATTACTGTAGTCTAAGTTTAAACTTGAGTAGGGTTTAGTTATTATTTTATGCCAGTCTTTCCAAAAAAAATTAATTTATTTAAATGAACAAGTAATAAATTACAGTCCTTTCGTTGATTTTTTGAAATGGTAAAAAGTATCATTTAAATGTAATTTCACATATTAAAATGTGAAAAGCGGGTATTGGAACTATTTATACCATGGAATGCAGGTACATACAGTTTTATAGTCTATTTAGATCTATCAGATTCTCAACATTGTGTGTACCATATTTACCTTTTCAGAACTCTCAAAAATAAAATTCATTACATGTATTCATTATTGTAGCTGCAGAGGAGGCAAAGGGAAGTAAAAGCTGATACAAGATAACACTAGTAAATAAAGTAAGTAACAGAGTTCCAGATTATAAACAATAGGATTTCTGTGGCTATTTCAATGCATTGACAAATACTGATAAATGTTTTTATGCTTATTAAAATACTTCTGAAAACATCTATAATAATTCTTGTTATTTTATGTAAGAGGTGCCTCTCAGAATTTTATTTGTGTTCATATGAAGTATAAGCATTGAAGTCTTAATTATTGTTTGAACATTTAATTATGTTCATGGACAAGCAGGAAAAGAAATAAACAAGCCTTTGATCATAAGCATCGATAAATTATTTACTGCCAACCAATTATTATTCACTAACTAGAGGTACTGTGAGCGATGAGCTCACTAAATGATACCCCCCGCCTCCATATAGTTATAATGGCAAAGTCCATGTTTTGCTGTGGCCGGGAAACCCAAAATATGTGTCTGATCAAAAAGTAAAATAGGAGGTGCACAATGGCAATATGTAATAAAGATTCTGTGAAAGTTTCATCAAATTTCATTCAGTGGTATGAGAGGAGTTGCGGATAAGAGATGGGTACCCCAAAGCGTAATAGACGGACGGACAGACGTACAGACGGACGGAATTAACGATTACTGTATACCCTCCCACTTTTCAAGCGGGGGGTATAATAATGTTAAAGCAGTGTACAGATGCTTATTTTTTATTTTTTCTGTTTTGTACCTGATTATTTTCTATCTTTATTAATATTTTTCAGACAAGGTTGGAGCTTTTGAGATCTTGAGTCTGCTGTACATTTGATGAGACGAGGATTAACATTTTTTCTGTCAAGGGATATTACTCTGTTGTCAGAAAAGGAAAAGAAAATATCCTCAAGTTTTTGATGTTTTTCGATAATCAACACCAGTTTCTCTGCTTCTTATCTGAATTATAAACAGCACAAGATTAAACAGTTCTCCAAGAACCAAGACAGGAAAAAGTTGTATTTAAAATAGTAAATATAAGAAAATATACTGTATGTAAACTATTTAGATGCATTAGAGTTGTTATAATATATCAAATTTCATATTATCTATCTTGTAACTATTTTTTTTTCACTGCCTTAGTGTGTTTTTAGGAAATATAAAAATATGAATGTATGAAATATATGTCCCTTCATGATAATGCAGAATGATAGAGCAAACTATGATTCTAGTTACAATGTAGATCATAAAAAAGGAATGTTGAATGCATGTATCTGTATTACTGGAGAAGCACAAATTTTCATGGGGACAAAATTTCATTGATTTGTCTTCTGTAATAGATTCTTGGGTATTTAATTTTGTTGTTTTGAAGGTAACTCAATCCAATATATAACCATATAAAAATTTCGTGTGGGATTTAATTTAGTTGAAAATTGTTAACAAAGAATTAAACGAAATTTAACCACCCCACGAATATTTGTGCTTTTACAGTATTCAGAAGCTTAAGTCTCGAAGAAATATTTTTCTTCTTTTTAGAATCCAGCGGAAAAACCATACAATTGTAGGCAAAATATAACTTTTGTGAATACTTGAAATAAATATCAAGAAAATTCTTAAACACGACTAATATTTGACTTACCAGAATTGTACACAAGATAAAAAGTTCATTGCAAAGTTTTATTTGTACATGCACTACAATTTTAAGCATGTAGCCTCTATGTTTGAAGATGAAGATGCTACCATAAGAAAATAGTGCTAATTATACGCTTTCTTCAATTTTAATTTTTTTTTGCCTGGTGCGGGTTGTAGTAATTTCTGTAATTCTTTGATCCTTGTGAAATGTTATTTTCATGAATTGTTTTTCTCTTCCCATCAATTTGTCACTGTAATTAGATTACTACATTGTATAATGATGTCAACCATGCTTTGTTCCATTGCATAATCAATAAAATTCAATGGAAAAAAACTTATTTTTCAAAGTTATTCAGTGTCAGTGAATCAAGATATAAGTATAATTATGTGAATCAAAGTGATGCTCAGTGGTTACACTAAAATCCATTCCATCAGCAGTGTTCATTCAGTTCAGGTACATACATATATACTTAACTGTACTTATCCAGTTGTCATCAGTACATCAACTTAAGTCGTAATTAGTCAGTAGTACACCCATGAAGTCTCATATTTAGTAAGTAGCCATCAGTAAGTCTGCTGTTGTAATATTTAGTCAGTAGTCATTAGTGATCCTACAGTACCTATACTTATAGCCAGTGATCATCAGTATGTCCAATGTAATCATACTCATAAGGTTATATCTACAGTGTCATACTTAGCTAGTAGTCATTATAATGTTTAAAGTAATTGTGCTTATCAGTAATTGCCACCATGTATGTAATATCCATACTTAGCCAGTAGTCGTAAGAATGTCGACAGTATCTATACTTAGCCTGTAGTCATCAGAATATGTACAGTATCCATACTTAGTCAGTATTCATCAGTAAGTCTACAGTTGTAATATAAAGTCAGTAGTCATCAGAATATGTACAGTATCCATACTTAGCCAGTATTCATCAGTAAGTCTACAGTTGTAATATAAAGTCAGTAGTCATCAGAATATGTACAGTATCCATACTTAGTCAGTATTCATCAGTAAGTCTACGGTTGTAATATAAAGTCAGTAGTCATCAGAATATGTACAGTATCCATACTTAGTCAGTATTCATCAGTAAGTCTACAGTTGTAATATAAAGTCAGTAGTCATCAGAATATGTACAGTATCCATACTTAGTCAGTATTCATCAGTAAGTCTACAGTTGTAATATAAAGTCAGTAGTCATCAGAATATGTACAGTATCCATACTTAGTCAGTATTCATTAGAAAGTCTACAGTTGTAATATAAAGTCAGTAGTCATCAGAATATGTACAGTATCCATACTTAGTCAGTATTCATCAGTAAGTCTACAGTTGTAATATAAAGTCAGTAGTCATCAGAATATGTACAGTATCCATACTTAGTCAGTATTCATCAGTAAGTCTACAGTTGTAATATAAAGTCAGTAGTCATCAGAATATGTACAGTATCCATACTTAGTCAGTATTCATCAGTAAGTCTACAGTTGTAATTAGAGTTGGGTATTGCGAGTGAAAACCATATTGCGATATATTGCAATATTTTACATTGAATATTGCAATATATTGCGATATATTGTAGATTAATTATCATTAATAAATTTGTGCAGAAAGTTTAAAATGCTGTCAATTTCAAAAACTATTTGAATTTATCTATAAATTTTAAAGGGGGCGGTGGATATGACATTAATCGCACACATAATTATAATAACTTTTAATCAAGTACCAGGTAAAATATTAAAACAAAATGTACTCATTTGATTTACTTTCAAATTGGAAAAAAAAGTTTATGCATAGTATATTCTTTATACAATTTTTTGGGGGGGCGGGTGTTTTATTGAAATAGCATAAAATGTAACTTAATGATTAAAACAATACATGCTATATGGAAATTTTATGTGGTCACAGAACAAAATTAAAGCCAGAAAGAAATTGTGATATTTATACGTTTGGTGTTTTAGTCATCAGAAATTTCACATTATGACATACTTCAGGAACTGCATTGGCCTATTTCTATTGTTTTAATATACATACTTATAGCATGAAGGTCATTAAAATGGCAAGAAACTTGTTAAAAAATAATAAAAAGCAACACTGTATCAAGTGAAAACATGGATGGCCATTTATTTTTTGTAATATCTATCTTGAACTTAACATTCAACGTCGATCGTGTAGATTGATTCCATGAGATCCACAGTATATACATGGTATACAGTATACACCCTGTATAAATGTTTTATATTTTCTTTCTTAATAATTTTATTTAAAGGTCTTTTTATTAATTATTGATTTTATTTTAAAGTAAGATATTTAAAATTGCGACAGTGACTGAATGAAAAGATTCCTCTCTCTCTCTCTTTTCTCTCTATCTGCCTCTGAAAGCTGACGAAGTATTTTTTTTAACTACATTAAAAAGGCCTGTTGAAGTTGCAAGTATTATTTCAGCAGTTTCTACAATAAAGGAGGTTTTCATATATCCATACTTATACAGTATCTGATTTTCATATCAGATATATTACATGTAATCCAATATACTTATACCGGTATTGCACAGCCCTAGTTGTAATATAAAGTCAGTAGTCATCAGAATATGTACAGTATCCATACTTAGTCAGTATTCATCAGTAAGTACAGTTGTAATATAAAGTCAGTAGTCATCAGAATATGTACAGTATCCATACTTAGTCAGTATTCATCAGTAAGTCTACAGTTGTAATATAAAGTCAGTAGTCATCAGAATATATACAGTATCCATACTTAGTCAGTATTCATCAGTAAGTCTACAGTTGTAATATAAAGTCAGTAGTCATCAGAATATGTACAGTATCCATACTTAGTCAGTATTCATCAGTAAGTCTACAGTTGTAATATAAAGTCAGTAGTCATCAGAATATGTACAGTATCCATACTTAGTCAGTATTCATCAGTAAGTCACAGTTGTAATATAAAGTCAGTAGTCATCAGAATATGTACAGTATCTATACTTAGTCAGTATTCATCAGTAAGTGTACAGTTGTAATATAAAGTCAGTAGTCATTAGAATGTTTACAGTATCCATACTTATACAGTGGTCATCAGAATGACTACAGTATCCATACTTATACAGTGGTCATTAGAATGTCTACAGTATCCATACTTATACAGTGGTCATTAGAATTTCTACAGTATCCATACGTACACAGTGGTCATAAGAATGTCTACAGTATCCATACTTATACAGTGGTCATCAGAGTGTCTACAGTATCCATACTTATACAGTGATCATCAGAATGTCTACAGTATCCATACTTAGCCAATAGTCATCAGTAGGTCGGTCATATCCATACTTATACAGTGGTCATTAGAATGTCTACATTATTCATACTTATACAGTGGTCATCAGAATGTCTACAGTATCCATACTTATGCAACGGTCATTAGAATGTCTACAGTATCCATACTTAGCCAGTAGTCATTATAATGTCTGCAGTATCCATACTAAGTCTGTAGTCATCAGAATGTCTACAGTATCCATACTTAGCCAGTAGTTATCAGAATGTTGACAATATCCATACTTAGCCAGTAGTCTACAGTATCCATACTTAGCCAGTAGTCATTAGTATGTCTACAGTATCCATACTTAGCCAGTAGTCATTAGAATGTCTACAGTATCCATACTTAGCCAGTAGTCATTAGTATGTCTACAGTATCCATACTGAGCCAGTAGTCATTAGATTGTCTACAGTATCCATACTTAGCCAGTAGTCATCAGAATGTAGACAATATCATTACTTAGCCAGTAGTCATCAGAATGTCTACAGTATCCATACTTAGCCAGTAGTCATTAGAATGTCTACAGTATCCATACTTATACAGTGGTCATTAGAATGTCTACAGTATCCATACTTAGCCAGTGGTCATCAGAATGTCTACAGCATCCATACTTAGCCAGTAGTCATTAGAATGTCTACAGTATCCATACTTATACAGTAGTCATCAGAATGTCTACAGTATCCATACTTATACAGTGGTCATCAGAATGTCTACAGTATCCATACTTAGCCAGAAGTCATTAGTATGTCTACAGTAACCATACTTATACAGTGGTCATTAGAATGTCTACAGTACCCATACTTATACAGTGGTCATTAGAATGTCTACAGTACCCATACTTATACAGTAGTCATTAGTATGTATACAGTATCCATACTTAGCCAGTAGTCATTAGTATATCTACAGTATCCATACTTAGCCAGTTGTCATCAGTATGTCTACTGTATCCATAATTAGTTAATTATCTGCATGTCTACAGTATCCATATTTAGCTAGTGACCAACAGGAAGGGCAGGGACACAATAGGGAATTCAATTTTTACACTCAAATATATATGAGAAAAATCTTTAAAAATCTTCTTCAGAACTACTGGGCCAGAAAAGCTATGAAACTTATGGGGAAGCATCCTCCCCAAGAGGTATTACAAGGAGGAAATTATGGTGAAAAACAACAGGGCCAATTATACTCAGGTGAACGTTGTGACTCAAGGGCCACTTGTTTATTAATGTTTATGTCATATATTTGATCAATGTCGATAACATGAATCACAAATAAGAATATATAGCCTAAAGTCATTGACTGTAACAGAAATTCTTGTAAATTTAAGACTCTGACCAATTTTGGCCATATGTCTTTACTGCATCTGTAAAAGAGCAATCCGAACCTCTCCAAGCTATCCATCACGAGGAACTGTAGAAACAGGATTATAATCCTTTGTAAAAGTAAATAATTTTACAGAGTTCAAATTCTGATCGATGTCATAATTTTATCCAACAAAGAATACAAGATGTGTTTGTGAAACACTGATGCCACTGTATGGTAACATAGTGAAAATTAAACTTTTCTTAAAGGCAAATTTAATATTTTGGTACCCAAAGTAGGGTCTCCTAACTGGAAATACAAAAGCCCTGCACCATCTGTTCCCAAGCTATGGCCAGACTAAAGTTTTTTTTCATAAGTACAGAAATTATCAAGGTCAGAAGGTCAAGGTTATTAGTATTGGTATCCAATAAAAGACTTGCCACAAAGAATACATATGTGAAGCATGGAGGCCCTACCCCTAACCATTAAAAGTTATTGACAAGGTTAAGTCCAGAAATCTCCAAGATCAAGGTCAAAAGTTCAAGGTTATAGGTATCCAATAAATGCTCTTGCCACAAAGAATACATATGTGAAGTATGGAAGCTCTATCCCTAACTGTTTAAAAGTTATGGCCAAGGTAAAAAAATATTAAAAGTAGGCCAAACTCTAAGGTCAAGGTCAAAGATCTTGATATCAAATGAAAGGTCTTGTCACAAGGACTGAAAAAATAAAGTATGAAAGCACTAGCTCTAACCCTTTAAAAGATATGGTCAAGGTTTGTTTTTTAAAAGTAGGTCAAACTCCAAGGTCAAAGTAAAAGGGTTGAAGCTCTTGGTATCCAATGAAGTGTCTTCTTACAAGGATTACATACATGAAGTATGAAAGCTCTAGCCCTTATCGTTCAAAAGTTATTGCCAAGGTTAAGGTTTTTTCATTAGTATGTAAATCTCCAAGGTCAACAGGTCAAGGTTGGTGGTATCAATGAAAGGTCTTGCCACAAAGAATATAAATGTGAAGTATAAATGTCCTGGTATCAACTGTTCATAAGTTATGGCCAAAGTAAAAATTTGGAATTTTTGTGTAAAGTGGGTCAAACTCCAAGGTCGAAGTCAAAAGTTCAAATTTTTGGTGGTACCCAAAGAAAGGTCTTATCACAAGGAATACACATGTGAAATATGAAAGTCATAGCTCCACTAAATCAAAAGTTATGGGCAAGGTTAAAGTTTTTGCAGACAAATAAACAGACAGAAAACGAACACGACAAAAACTTTATACCCCCGAACGGAAGCATAAAATCATCTGATTTTTTCTGTTTTATCATATATGTTTCTCCATTCTCTCTATGAGCCAAAGCATGTGAATGAGATATGTACAAAAATAAAGATTCAACAAGCTTTCGTCTGTCCGCAAACTTTAATACAATCGTAATAGATATATAATTTTTGTATAAAGTAAAACAAGTTATCCTAACTAATAAATACATCTGGTATTTAATCATATGGCTTAAATCATAAATTAATAAGCAAGACAAAACTACACACAATAATCTATAAATCATACAACACAAAATTATAACAGAAAAACCCATTTGTAACGATATGTAAAATACATTTTTTATGAAATCTAAACACTCACTCCCCAAAAAACAAAGGAACAGAACAAACATGCAGTCCTACTATCCTCCCTTTTTGACAAGCTAGCTGTAGTTAGTATCCATAATCATCATCATTATCCATTACACCCTGTGGTGTCTAGGGCAGCATCCAATGTACACCTCAGAATTTCATGCTTGTTGACCAGCAACCTTGGAATTAATGTACTGTAAACCAACTTTTATTAATGTGTGAGAAATATCATCAAGTTTCGCAACCTACTTGAATTCACGAATATTAATCGCTGTACACCAAATAATTTGCAATGCACTTATAAAGAATGTTTCATCTGTCTCAAAGTTTGATTTCAAACTGACATATGAATAAAAGATGTCGGTTATAATAGTTGATTTACAGTATTCACTGATCGTGGACTTTTTAAAAACTTTTTTCATACAAAATCAGAAGATAACTTTTTGTCATATGTCTACTTTTCACATTATTCTCTGAATAATCATTTTTACAAAACTGCCCTGGGATCATTCTTTACATCAGAAATCTGGCCACAAGACCAAAAAAGTTAAGACCAACTCCCTATTTGATCTCCATCATTTTCACTTTATCCTCCAGTAGTAGAAGTGAGACTGAGATCAAAAGTGAGCTTGTGTAAGTTTTATGTCCCTGAAGCCTGATCCTGCCACATAAGGTTAAACGTTTCTTGACAGACATAAATTCTGCAAGGTGATGAACAAAGGGGATTCCATTAACAACATGCTCTTTTACAAACAAAGTAATGATCATAGATTATTATTAATTAATCATAAAATATATAAAATTTTCTACACAAAAAAACTTAACAATTACACACTTAACTGTGTAAGACATCAAATAAGAAGTACTAAGAAAAATGGACACATGCGTATGCTAAAAGTGTAAAAAGGTGAAATAAGATTGCTGTGCTCTGTTCAGCAGCTGTAAATAAAGCTATGCATATATGCTGAACGTAATAATATCACAAATATTTAGCGTTGACAAGCCCTGAACAATGTCAACATAATGAGGTATTTAGGTGTACAGACCATGGCCATTTGTTTTACGAACCACAGCCTAAGGAATGTTCCAGACCTGTAATAGTTAATGCAAGGAAAATGACCTCGTTGATAATTAGACCTGTAATAATTAATACAAGAAAAATGACATCGTTGATAATTAGAATACTGCTTTTCTGGAATAATTTAGCACTGATTATCAATCATTTTTTGAACAAAAAAAACCCGGAAGTTATTTTCTAGAAGCTGGAAATCCTACACTATAGGAATGTAAAAATAGCATCATCATTCAGAGACAACACTGAACAAAATCTTAAATAAAAAAAAGATCAAAGTACCAATTTAACAAAAGTTAGAATGCCCTATTAAGTATTTCGGTGTCTAGAAACAAATACTATACATGCACTTACAGAACAGATGAAGAGAACTCTACCTAACACTATTAAGTGCACTAAGACCACTAAGACGAGAATTTAAGCAGAATACGAGTTCATACCTTCTGATGTGCCTATCAGTCAGTTCAGAGATTGTCGTTATTTTGTAAGTTTTAAAAATTCAAGTAAAGGCACTTTCCTTTCTCATTGTAAACATAAAGAATTTAAAAACTAGTCCATTAAAAAAATGCTAATCATTAGGGCAATACATTAAAAAAAAACAATCTGCTAAAAATTCAACTTTTAGCCTCCGCTGAAGAGTTTACACAAAACATCACTCAAAACAATACAGTGCAAAATGTCTAATCTGACACCTGTATAATTCATTTCACTGTGAATTCTGACCTTTATATTCATTGTTTTGTTTTCTTATGTCACACTCTTGACACTTTGTAATCCAATACCATGTCTTTTCAGACACAAATTGTGTCTCTCAGTAAATGTCGAATCAGACAGATTTATCATGTGTTATCTATATATTTCGATACAGGTAAATAAGGATAAAACATTTTTGGGTAGTGGATTATAAATTGCCATAAACTATTTCACTTTATGAGATCATATGTATATTAATAATTGATTTCCTATAACACACTAAAAGCTGATCTCCCTTAATCTCTAAAATCAACAAATAACATTACAATCACTTTCAGTGAAACTATAAACTAGAACTGTCCAAACGGGACAAAATACCCCCCGCTGGGTTTTTCAGAAGAAAGTTTTTCCATAATAAAGATATGTATCAAACACGAATTATGAAATTTTTCTTCCAGTGACCTTGAACTTCCCCAAATAACCTTGGGTCAAGGTCATGACACACCCTTGGGTCATGGGCAATCTTTCAGTGAAATGCGAACCTACCAAGTTTATCCATAAGAAAGATATGGACCTGACTTGAATTATGAAATTTTTCTTCCAGTGACCTTGAACTTCCCCAAATGACCTTGGGTCAAGGTCATGACACACCCTTGGGTCATGGGCAATCTTTGTGTGAAATGAGAATCACCAAGTTTATCCATAAGAAAGATATGGACCGGACACAAATTATGATATTTTTCTTCCAGTGACCTTGAAGTTCCCCAAATGACCTTGGGTCAAGGTCATGACACACCCTTGGGTCATGGGCAATCTTTGTGTGAAATAAAAACCTACCAAGTTTATCCATAAGAAAGATATGGACCGGACAGGAATTATGAAAATTTTCTTCCAGTGACCTTGAACTTTCCAAAATGACCTTGGGTCAAGGTCATGACACACCCTTGGGTCATGGGCAATCTTTGTGTGAAATGAGAACCTACCAAGTTTATCCATAAGAAAGATATGGACCGTACATGAATTATGAAATTTTTCTTCCAGTGACCTTGAACTTCCCCAAATGACCTTGGGTCAAGGTCATGACACACCCTTGGGTCATGGGCAATCTTTGTGTGAAATGAGAATCTACCAAGTTTATCCATAAGAGATCACACAAATTATGATATTTTTCTTCCAGTGACCTTGATTCCCCAAATGACCTTGGGTCAAGGTCATGACACACCCTTGGGTCATGGGCAATCTTTGTGTGAAATAAAAACCTACCAAGTTTATCCATAAGAAAGATATGGACCGGACAGGAATTATGAAAATTTTCTTCCAGTGACCTTGAACTTTCCAAAATGACCTTGGGTCAAGGTCATGACACACCCTTGGGTCATGGGCAATCTTTGTGTGAAATGAGAACCTACCAAGTTTATCCATAAGAGATATGTATCAAACATGACTTTTGAAAATTTTCTTCCTGTGACTTTGAACTTTCCCAAATGACCTTGGGTCAGGGTCATGACACACCCTTGGGTCATGGGCAATCTTTGTGTGAAATGTGAACCTACCATGTTTATCAATAAAAAAGATATGGACCGAACACGAATTATGAAATTTTTCTTCCAGTGACCTTGAACTTCCCCAAATGACCTTGGGTCAAGGTCATGACACACCCTTAGGTCATGAGCAATCTTAGTGTGGAGTAGTAGATAATGTCCCTCTGTAAAAAAGATCACTTTCAGTGAAGACAGACAGACGGACGGACGGACAGCTAGACACGGACAGACAGACAGACGGACAAGGTGATTCCTATATACCCCCCAAACTTCGTTTGCGGGGGGTATAAATACACATGTAAAATGAACCTTGGAGATTCTGTTAACATGTAATCAATAATTAAATACATCAACCCTTTAAAAATATAATGCTAGCGTAATAAAACTCAGTGTTCACTATATATACCCTGCAGTGGTTTGACATCTACAGTACATAAATATCTGATAATAATAGTAGCACAGCCAGAGAGGGAGCTTCTTAACACCGAATAAGCAGAATTTTTAGCGAGGATTTTATTTTGGCATTTATATTAGCAAGAGTATTGACATTGCTATAATTGAATGTCGTTAAAAATTAGTTTCTCTTTTTTTGTAATAGCTTCTTTAAAAAGCAGTTTAAAACTACCTCGCTAAAAATAAAATACCAATTTTTAAGGACAAATCGCTGAATTTGCGCCTCGCTATAATTTCCACTTATTCAGTACATAAATATGAAGGGAATTCAACACCTAATTAATATAACAGCGGGACGAGCCTCTACTACCATCTACTGTATGTGTGTTCTTATCATCAGAAATTAACATGATCACCTTTAAATTGAATAACATATTAATCTGTTACACAATACAGGTAGAGCATACAAGAACACAGACAGCACTCATTCCTCAATATTTCATTTCTTTTAAAACAAGTACACACATACAGCAGTTTTTGTCTGGACTATAGGAAAAAATACAAAGGGTATACAGTGTACTTTTATGTTAATTTATACATGACTGCAATTCTATCCTATGGGAATATAATACATAAATTTCACTAACTATAAATAACATGATAATAAATAAACTAATAACAATCCCAGTTCTAGCTACTACTCTATCTATACTTCAGAATCCAGTAGGGGGTCCCTCACGTCTGAATTCTGCCCCTCCTCCTTGTCCACCTTACTGACTTTAAATCGGCTGAGCGGGGTCTCAGAGCTGTTCTCTTTACTTTTCCTCCTGGTATATAGATTACTATTCAGGGTGAGAGGTGACAGTTTCGTATTCAGAGAAAACCTTTTCTTTGATGGGCTTTTCTGTGGACTACCGTCAGACATGGGGCGCGAGTCCTGCTTTGTTGGGGACTCCCCTTCGAGGTTAAAGGTCACCTGAGGGCGGTGCCTGCGCCTCACTGGGTGGAGTCCATGGTATGTTTTGTACACGTTGTAGCCACCTTTAGTTTTCTCCTCGACCACTCTTGTCTCAGGAACAAGTCCTTCCTGAACTTGGTGTAAAGCATTTTCAAAGTCTTTCTTTAAGTAACGGGAGTACTGTAAAGAAAAAAAACAACAACACACATTAGTCTGTAAAGCTGGTAAATGCTTATATCTATGTCTATAATATTTCTTTTAAAAACTATCTATTAAATAAAACTGAAGGAAATTGGGATATGCAGTCTGATATGGAATCTGACCTTGATACATGCAAATTATGTCATCTATTGAGGCTTATTAATAGAGTTTAAAAGATATTATACAATTACTGCTGGTTTTGTGGTCAATCAGTAAGTAAGCCACTGGCCTATACAAATTTCGTTTCTCCCCTCCTCCAATAATATGTGCCTGGATGTTATAGTCTAGTGCAAGTGAAATTTTTTTTTTCAAAACTAATTGTAACAATTTAAAAATTATCAATTTATTTTTTATTAGTTCAAATTAGAAAAATTAATTTTTATTAGATAGACTATTTACAGTCCCAATATAATATATTCAAATGAAAACAGTTCATAATACGTGTACTGAAAACAGTTCATAATACGTGTACTACACATTCACTGGGTTTAAGGCTGTATTCCAAAGAGGGTCAGTGTTCATGCAGCAGTGATTGTGATGTACATCACAAAGAACATCTCAACATGTAATCTTAATATCTTGGTTAAATAATGTATAAAGTATAATATTATTTTTATTTATTCCAAGCTCTCTGATTGGCTCAAACTTGATCACATACTACAAATAGTACTGATTTCAGTCATAGCTAATACAGTGTATGATTTGATGTTTCTAGAAAAAAAATATTTATGTCAGCTTCTACTAATTTTTTTCAATGTTCTGTATTTGATGAGACGAAACAATACATTGAATTAGGATCTACTTCATATTAATTAAAACATATTGGATATGTGTGTCAAATATTGATACAAAACATAATCAAATAAATGAAGTATTTTGAATAAGTAAATCCTCTAAATTACTCCATCAATATACAGGAAAAAAATTTACATTAAACAGCATAATTTATTTTGATCTCTAGTCTCTAAGTGTTAAAGAGAGAAAACTTTTTCCCATTATTTTCATTATTTGTTTTGTCAATCTATGTAAAAAATAATATAACAAATGTAGCCCTTTAATTCAGTCAATCCATAGATATATCGACTTCACAGAAAAGAATATCGACCTCCCACTTCGTGCTTGGTCAATATGCTTTTCTGTGAAGTTGATATATATCTATGGATTGACCTCATCAAAGGGCTATATTTATATGAAGAGACAAGGTTTTAAATTAGAGAAATTCAAATTAATTAGGTCGACATAACCCATAATGAATGTGAATAAAATCACTACATTACTACATAACACAAGGTGAAAAAAGGCAAATCTTGTAAAAAATCTGAAATTTCAAAGAATCAATGTATTTTTATGATTGATAAAGACCCATTCTAACTCAAGAACCCCTAACCTTAGGGCCATGAAATTCAGAATTTTGATTAAGACTCATTGCTTTTTAAAATCATGTCAGGAGTTTGATTGATGGCCAAGAGTAAAGAAGATTTCTGAAATTCAGTTGATTGATGGTTTTGGCCCATCCCTCAAGCCCCTTCATTTGGAGTTGGGGGGACAAGGAAATTCACAATTTTTGCTTCCCCTTGCCCATAGATGGTCTTTACCAAATTTGGTTGAAAGTGGTATGAAAGTTTAAGAGAAGAAGCTAAAAATGTTAACAAATTTTATGACTGATGGAGCTTTATAATATTGCACACTTTAAATTCTTGTGTAATATGTGATTGTTAAAAAAATAAACAGGAAAACTATGCTCTCAAGTAGGCATGTCAGTTTTACACACACTTCCTGTGTCATTTACCTGACCTCCATTTACCTGTGTAAGGTACACCTTAAAGACGATTTAAAAATTGAATTAATTTCAAAATACCTGTCAAAATTAAATATTATTTTGTTCATGGCCAATAAAGTGTATCAATTAACATTCAAAATAAACAAACATCAGGCTGCACATGCTTTATGTAAGCTTTCATTTTGGTTTAGTTAGTTGGTCCCTGTTGGAAAACTACAATTAAGCAGTATTTATTTGAACTCTCATGCAAAGTTTAAAGAATTTACATAATAGAAGTTCCTCTACAATAATTTGATTGACCCATTAATACTATAAAATGACCAAAAGTCATTTAGAAGTTAAGGGAAAAAAGTTTAGCTTTACTTTTCTGAGAATATAAATAAATACTGAAATCCCCTTCATGGTTTCAAACCAAAAGGTCAAAAGGTTAGTTCCAGAGTAACCCATTAAAAGTGCTACAGTATACTATAGTAAGCCATGCTTAGGAAGCCAGGAAATAATGGATACACGGCCAAGCCTTCAGTGGTAGTGTTGTCAACGAGTACCCGATTAACCGTGATCAGAGTATCGGTAAGCAAAACTGCCGGATAAAATACATTTTACATAGTAAATACATAGAAAATATTAATGTAATATTGTTTATAAATGAAATTTTTGATACTGTTGGACTTGATCTTCTAGTTCTAGTTTTCACAGTTTATATAATGATACCTTTGATTGCCAGGGGGTATACAATTTTTGAAGACCTGAGTTATAATTACCTCATTTAATAATTTAACAATCAAGATGCCACCACAGATATATTAAGCTTGGAGGTATTTTAAAAGAACAGTTGATTCAAAATCTGTTGTTTCCTGGACACTCCACAAATTAACCAGTAATTATACATGTATATGGAGTATGTAAATAATTCTTCTTGATTGTGACATATTTCTGGGGCTGGAAAGGAAAAAGTAATGAAAGCCATTGTAAAATGGCGATTTGTGACTATATACAAAAATATTTATTTGTCTTCTTCGTTTGTCAAATAACTTTTTTTCCTTAATCTAAAATAAAAATTGAAAAAATTGAAAAAAAAATGAAGATATTGTGTGTATGCATGTTTTGTAAATAATGTTGACATATGTTATAATTTATATATGTGTATTTCTACTTCTAATGAGTAAACTACTCGTATTACATAAATGTAATAGATATGGAAACTTGCGAAAAATCATCAGAGTAACCGGGTACTCGATCGGAAGATTAAGTGTGTAACCGGTTACTAAAAATCGTCCGATTTCACAACACTTTGCAGTGGTCATTACACACAAACTTGAAATAATTAAGATGACAGAAGATAAAACCACACATGTATACCAGATCCGGATAAGTTCCCTCCTATGAAAAAGTTCATGCAAAAAACAAAACAATTACTAACTGGTGCTAATTGGGAAGGGATTATTCTACTCATAATGATACAATGTACTGACAAAAATCTCGAACCTCAAAATACACTTATTTATCCACATTATTATAAATAAAACTAATTTTGAAATTTCAATAATTTTTTGACAGAAATAATTTAGGTATGTTTCAGATACAAGTACATAGCGTGTACAGTTTCTCAGTTATTCATTGACTACAATTTGTCTATCCAGTGTAAACAAGTCCACCCTGTAATTAGCCTTACCTGATTTCCTCCACCAATCCTAGGCAAGAATTTATTGTACTCTGGACTGTTTTCTACTTCCTGTCAAATAAAACATACAGGATTGACATCTTTTCTGTATACGCATTACATGCTAATAAAATGATGTCACAGATCCAAAAATCTCAGACTGGATTGTAACTGCATGTACTGAATCATTAATTTCTGAGGAAAATACCAAAGCACCTCATTTTCCAGTATTTTTAAACATTATTTATATCTCAAAAATCTTATCTGGAATCTAATAAACCATGAAATGATTTAAAATGAGATCTCTACTGACCTCTATGATATCTCTAAGTCTCAGGGTGTTCTCCGCAGAGTCTCCTGTCTTTTTCTGTAAACAAAGAATGACACACATCAAGCAAGTTACACTGTACTGGACTAGTAAGTAACAATACTGGTAATAAAAATTAACAATCCTGCATTTTTACTCATTTGTTTTGCAATGAAAGTAACACATGTCTTTCATATGCCTTTCTTTTATTTCTTTACAGATGTAATGTTTGTAACACTTACATTAATGTTTGCTTTACTGCACGGTACCATGTACTAAACTTCTTAAATGTACACATGTTTAGTAATCTCAAAGTTAGAGGAACTTCTGTGTAATGAGATACTGACCCTCCACTCCTCTAGGAGTTTCCGAGCCTGGGCAGCCAGCTGCATGCTCTGAGGACCTTTAGACGTAGAATACGACTCCTTCACCACGTGGATATCTTGACTCCAGAAATCTCGCGTGGAGTCTGTCGTGGTGTGCTGGGGCGCCACTTGTTTTATCTTTATAAAATCAAAGAATGGTACTTAATAAAAGCATCAAATATTGTATTTTTTCAATTAGTTTTTATCAATTGCATTTATTTACTATAATTTTTATAATTTCAGTGAAAGTTTAAAATTGCCTTTAAAAATTGGAATGTCAAAACTTATTGGATTTCTGTAACAATAATTTTAAGGTATCGGGTAATTGCATGCTATCCAACATTTTCTCTAAGAGTCTTT